GGAACTGGTGGCAGGTGGAGATTTGCGGGTGCTGGGGCCGCTGGGGCTGTGCATTTGTGTTGTGCCAATCTAGGGGCTCCAGAGGCCAATTTATGGAAAAAGTTCTGACCTTGCGGTGAAATCTAGGTATGTGAATCAGTTCTTGTGCTGTGCTTGTTGGTATCTGTTGGTATTGACGTTGTAAGATGTGTGCTTCAACAATACAGTTCCTGGACGCGGTGTCAGGGATGACTCTTTGACTTGGATCAATCAGAAGTGCTTTTCCCGTTTTGAGGCCAGCTCCGCGCTTGGATGGAACTTGTCCCCGCTGCTTCTTTTGGCTTCATGCATCGTAAAGCGTAAAGACATGTTTGGAAGCCAAGCAGCAAGAGGCTTGCGAAAGCTGAAAAGCTGAAAAGCAATGTCAGACTCGTAACCGGCAAGAAAGTTTGATTTCGCGACCCACTTCCAGTTGATCCAAGCGATCATGCTGAAATGCTGAAAATAGAGTATATAGAGTGAGAACCAAGAGTTGCTGGGAATGATCACGAACACCAAGGCTTCACATATGGTAGAAGCCTTTCAGCGACTCGTTTTAACTGCTGCTTAGCAGTCCCTTGTAGAATCACGCAGACGCTAAATGACCCTAAATGATCCTAAATGTATTTCCATCATTTTCCATCATTTTCCATCCTACACTCAGCCACTTTCGACAACTGATCACTTGCTTCGTGCCATATTGGATCGTCGTGATGCTCTGAGGCGATCATGGGGTTTTGAGTTCCTACAGGTCTACATTCTTGTGAATCGTGTATAATAATGGACCAGTGTGGACGCACAAAGGCTCCCCAAGTGCTCTGAAGCAAAGATGAGACAACCCACACTGAACACCCAACATCTTGATCCATTTTACTATCCCCAAGCAATGAGAAATTCCTCAGAGTCAAACATAAGCAGCCACAGTATGGCTCGTTGAAGTGTCGCGTCTTGGAGGTATGGAACTGGCCAGAAGCCGCCGTGGTTTGTTGACCTTTGTGGTCGGCTGGGGACTTGGGCCATTGGGCGGTCGTCCAGGGGATTCCTCACTTTTTTCATTGGTCAATTTCATACCATCTATTGGGTTCGTTAAGAAATCCTCTACTTGTTGATCTTGTTGGTTGCCACACATCTCAGATATTCAGATTACCCTATTTTGAAAGAATCGTAAGGGAAACTCAAAAGATGAAAAGACATGTAGAAGAATTGAAAAGAATTGAAACGAATTGTAGAAGAAAATAGAAAGAATTGAAAAGAATTGAAAATAATTGTAGAAGAAAATAGAAAGAATTGAAAAGAATTGTAGAAGAAATTAGAAAGAATTGAAAAGAATTGAAAAGAATTGAAAATAATTGTAGAAGAAAATAGAAAGAATTGAAAAGAATTGTAGAAGAAATTAGAAAGAATTGAAAAGAATTGTAGAAGAAATTAGAAAGAATTGAAAAGAATTGAAAAGAATTGTAGAAGAAATTAGAAAGAATTGAAAAGAATTGTGGAAGAAATTAAAAAGAATTGGAAAGAATTGTAGAAGAAATTAGAAAGAATTGGAAAGAATTGAAAAGAATTGGAAAGATTAAGTCTATTGAATATAAACTCAATTAGAACAATGAAAACCATTACAATTCTTGTTAATTCTTGACATATTCCCGGGGACATAGATTAGAGGCTTTCTAAAACCAGCCAAGTTTTGTTTTTCATCAACAGGAACAAATAGATAGCAGACAGATAAATATATAGAACGTGCTGTTTTCCTCCGTATGGTCTACTTGTATCTACAAAATCCATAAGGAGATCCATGAAAAACTCCATCAATTTTTCCATTAAACAGATTTTGTTTAAACATTCCCCAAAAAAACCAACCGTGGGATTTTCTGATTTTGCTCCATATGGGGATCCGAATACTTCGAACCGATCCCAGGTGGCGAGCCCTTTGAGGTGCCCTGGCCCTTTCTGGCGCTTCATTCGCCCCAGTGGGCGGAGAAGTTGGCGGAGGACGATGGGACGATTCGCGACTGGGGAATGGATTGGAAATGCGACTGGGATATCTTGGGATATCTTGGGATATCACGGATACGGTATCCCAAGATGGAAATGCTTGGGAGAATGGATCATATCCCACGATCATTATGAAATTGATTTGAAAATTGGTAATCAGACTGTTATTAGTGTCATTGAGATTAACTGGATACTCATTATGGCTAATGATGGTTGGTTGGGAGATGATGAATATCAGACAATTTTCAGCATCATTCGCTGGATGAAGCATTATTACTAATCAATACTACTAAAGTTATTTAAATATTGTTGTTATTAGAAGACATTACCAGTAGTACCGCACAAAGCGGTGGCGGAAGTTTCAAAAATAGGAAACCTATAGGAGAGGTTGGTTGTTGTGAATCACGGATGGCAGAGCGAAGCCACTGATGGACCGACAGGTGGTTGAGGTCTCCTCTCTTTCTTTCTCTTTCTCTCTCTCTCTTTCTCTCTCTTTCTCTCTCTTTCTCTCTCTTTCTCTCTCTCTCTCTTTCTTTCTCTTTCTCTGACTATCTACCTGCCTACCTACCTACCTACCTATCTATCTTTCTATCTATCTATCTATCCATCCATCCATCTATCTATCTATCGATCTATCGATCAATCAATCAATCAATCTATCTATCTATCTAGATATCTAGATATCTAGCTATCTAGATATCTAGATATCTATCTATCTATCTATCGATCTATCTATCTATCTAGCTAGCTGGCTATCTATCTATCAATCTATCTATCTCTCTCTCTCTATCTACCTATCTATCTATCTATTTATCTATCTATCTATCTATCAATCTATCTATCTCTCTCTCTCTATCTACCTATCTATCTATCTATTTATCTATCTATCTATCTATCTATCTATCTATATATATCTCTCTCTCTCTCTATCTATCTATCTATCTATCTCTCTCTCTCTCTATCTATCTATCTATCTATCTCTCTCTCTCTCTGTGTCTGTCTATCTATCTACCTGTCTATCTGCCAGCTTGAAAACCAAGCTATTCTGCGAGACTTTTTCATTTTTCGAAGTTGACAACATCAAAAACACAGCAATTGTGCGAGACTTCTTCATTTTTTTACACTTGACAACATCTAAAACGAAACAATTCTGCGAGACTTCTTCAATTTTTGAATTTGACAACATCAAAAACAAAACAATTCTGCGAGACTTCCTTCAAAAATGGAAAGTTGAGTGCAGCGCTGACAACCTCGTACGAATGCGTTTTTCGATTTTTCTCCTCGACCTATCTAAAGTACTGCGCCTGCAACGAAAAATTGATGCCAGGTCATACGAAGGGCTGCGCCTGTCACGCAAAATCATCTCAGCAGACCGGAAGATCTGATGCTCCAAAATGCAACCCCTCTCGGGAAATGAGCGCCCTGACCTCCGAACATCTCTAATGAACATGTCTTGTGTACTGCGCCTGCCACGCGAAATGCATCTTTGCAGATCCTCTTCAAATGTTCCACGCCTGCCATCGTTTCTGGAAATGCTGCAAAACCCTTACGTTTTGCTCACTTTTGACAAGGTGCACAATCCTTTGCGCCTGCCACGCGAAACGACATCTGAACCTCCAAAAGTGGTCCGAACTCCTGGTGTTTTCTACATTTTGACTTCGAAATGTGCTTCGCGCCACAACGGCGTGCACTTTTTCGACATCTCAACTTCCAAAAGTGGTCCAGCGCTGGCGTGTTTTCTACATTTTGACTTGGAAATCTGCTTCGCGCCACAACGGCGTGCAATTTTTCATCTCTCATCTGGCCAACTGGCTCCGCGCCTGCCGCTTTAGCGAGCCTACTGTTCGACCCTCCGGAGACACAAATCATTGGAAACCACAGTGTTTCGCGACTTTCCTACCTTTTCGCGCATCTGCGTCTTCTTTCTTCTGACTCTTTCTCTTCTACTCTTCTCTCTTCTAATCTTTTCCCTTCCCTCTGCCTCTGCCCTGCTCAGCTTTTCATCTGTCCATATTGTCGGAAGTTTGACATCTAAACTTCCTTCGATAATTGTTTTTTTTGGCCTTGGGTTGTGAATGTTTGAGAAACTCATGTTACGCAGAGTACAGTGGGGGGAAAGCCATCGGATGAGTCCGGTTTTGGGGCCGCCTTGCAACTTCCAGTGAGGGTGGGCGTAGGGGTTTATGCTCACGCAGAGTCTATGAGTCTATTCAAAAGTGATCTACGATTTTACAGCTACCGTAGAATTGTAGTAATTTCGATGAGGTGATTAGGTCCGTCATTTTTTGTGCCAATGAAGTATCCAATATCAGTGCATCTCCACTCTGACCTTGGTAGAGGAACCAGCAGTGGCTAAACAAGCGATCGAGCTGCAGGGGGAGGCCCTGATGTCATGCTCTGTGATGACGGAAGTTGTGCTTTGATAGGACATATCAAGACATGCAGAGATTCATACAAATATGATCAAACATGCATACATAATCAAACATAATCATACATACACGCGCATAATCATATACATCGTGTTTCAGATGAAGTCACCCCCAGCTCTGTCACGACTCACCTAGATGTACCACAGCAGCAGTTCCAATCATTGTCACAGACGGAAACAGAACATCTAGGGGTAGTTTTACCCATTTTCTACTTACGAAGGTATCCAGGGTTTGACCCATGTTCACATGTTCACTACCACCCAACGCAGTGCCTCATGTCATGTGTGGCTCAAGAAGTGACACAGCTGGGAGCCAGCTGCCATGGTCATGGCTTTAAATCCAACCATTTGGGATGGTTCAAGGGCACACACACACACAAACTGAGTGGTTTAGATTACCCAACAGAATTGGCATGCAAATTAGTGTGGGTCACACTTCGACAAGACATGTTAGGTACTGTCCCACTCTCACTTTCTCAAGCATGGTCCTGTGAAAGTTTCAGGCGACACAAATCATACACACTGTATCATCAGCACTGCTGGGCTCTCTTCGTGGGCCATGGGCAGCCCCTATTTGGTGACCACACACCGACATTTCTGCCGGACTTGCCAGAGAGAAGTGGAGGATGAGGAAATGGTCGTCACCTGCATGGAGTTACACGATATGAGGATGGTCAATGCAAGAAGACACCTCAAACAACATCTTCATATTTTGCAAAAAGCGTGCGCACTTGCCGAGAATCTGTGGTTCCATCCCCAGAGAATGATGAAACCATCATAAGCTAGCCACAATAATTTGGGCAATTTATATCCATAACATTGCAGAACCTTGGAAAGCAGGATATTTTAAAGACCCTCATCCCCTTTCCAGATCTAATCCAGATCGCATCCAGATCTAGTTGATCCAGTTGATCCAGTTGCTGAGGTCAATGACGACGAGTTGCAGGTGCATCTTCACTGCGGCACAGTTCTGGACTTTGAGGGCCTGCAACTAGAGACTGAGGGCCTCAGAGGAACCTATTCGTGGGGGCCCAGTCTGTGGATCCAAAGGGTGGTGCAAAAGGTGAAACACCAGGGCTCGGAACTTATAAAATGAAGACACCTCTAGTATAAAATTGAAATATTGCAATATATATATATATTTATATGAATGATTGTATATGTAATGACCAATGTATTGTTGCTGGTTGTAACTAACTTTGGGTTTACCTCTAGGGGGTTCTACTGTAAATGTGGGTGGGTATTAACCTTTAAAAGGGATGGCCAATGGCGCATTTGTGTCCAAAATAGGAACCCCAATCATCCAACTATATAAGCTTGGATGACAGAGGGTTATGGCCATTGCTGAATGGAATGGGTGGGCCAGAAGCAATGTAGAGAATCCATATTGGCATTCATCAAATTTCATCACTATCCAGCATTGCAAGCCCCTTCGCTCAACGATCTTAACGCATTTGGGTGAGCCCACAGGACGCGACCTATCGACCTTAGAAAGCAGCGCAGATTGGTTTGCCGAACAGCGACGAATCCTCGCCTCCTTGGAAGGTTCGGCCTGGGGTTGATAGCATCCTGATGGAGTTCAAGCATTTATGTCATTTCATGATTACTTCATGTCCACTGTCATGAAAGATGGCTGTGTTTAACCCCTTGCCCTTAAACTTGCATTTTGCTTCAAGGGTTTCTCCTGCGAAGGGGCCTCGCAGCAACGACGCAATGGTGAATCGAAGAAGATGTGTCTTGGAATGCACTTGAGTTTGTCCTTTTCAAAGGCTATGTGCAGACAAATCCAAACGCCATGTAAGGATCATTCCAAATACATGATGAATTTTAGATAAATTTAGAATCATTCCATTCATATCACAACGAACCATCACCAAACGCCGAGGCGAGGTGAAGACGCGCAGTCCCTGCTGCGCGATGCGGCTGCCTCTGCTGCACCGGTGGTGTCTGATTCTGGTGGTACGGCGCGGGCTGCGCAAGTGGGTGCTGCGAAACGGCGGGCTTGCGAGGAGTCGCTTGGACAAATGGCGTTTGGAAGTATTGACCGATAGAAGCAATATGTTTGGTTGAAACAACATGAAACAACCATCTCTTGTCTCAATGTGACCTGAGTTTCTGAGGGCAAGTTGAGTCGTTGATTCATGCTGGGGCCATCTGACGACAGGTCACAGCTCCGAGAGGCCAGAGAGGCGACAGATGCCGTGTGAAGAAAGATGCGCGTTCTGCGCGACGCGTGGCGGTCTTGAGTCCAGATCCACTGACTCGGGTTTGTCCAAAACTGGGGATACCCCAATATATTATGATATATTATGATATATTATGATATATTGGTGATTTTGAGTATATATATACTGTATATATCGATGGGATACATAATTATGATTAACCATGTGATTTTGGGTTACACCACATTTTCATACATTTTAAGACCTATGCACGGCCAACCATGACAACATGTCATTGCCTGATTGGGGAACCTTGCCAGCCTTTGCGCTCTCATGAGCACAGTACCAGATTTCTTGTTTCTGCCCTGCCTCTGCAGGCCGATTCATTCCGTGCCTTCTTGAACTACTTGCAGGGTGCCGAAGGCAAGGTCTTGGGACAGACTGATGAAGATCGGTTGAACATCAGAGTTGACCCAGGGGACTTCTGTTTGAGGCACTCCACCACCATGCGTGTCTTGATGTCTTCAAGGTTTGCTGCACCCCAAAGCACGCGAAGCACTGTGGGAAATTTGGGCAGCTGATGATTTGGACCTTAGAATTTAGTCTCACAATGTTTGTGCCATAGCCTCTTTGCAGACTTGCCTTTCCGAAAGATTAAGACTGAAGATCCTCCCGCCGATCACAGCCCATGGTCACTGACCCTACTCGCAGGTCCAACTGGAGATTTGAACCCTGGCAATTTCATGGCAGTGCTGGAGTGGGGCGAGGTGCGATCAGTGACCAACTTTAGGCCCACAAGATCCACTCGTGATCCACTCGTGATCCACTCGTGATCCACTCGTGATCCACTCGTGATCCACTGATCCACTGCAGGGTCGATTTTAAGTGGACATCCCGGCAGATCCCCATCTTTTTCGGAACATACAGGAAGACTATGGAAGAACCGCTTCTGAATCGGTCATTCTCCACATATTTTTGGCAGCGGTTCTGCCAGGAGTTTGGAGTCGAGCACATCCGTGGCCAGCACTGCTGCCACGTTGATCCAACAGCTGGAGTTGGGAATCCTCAACTTTCATATGGAGGTTTCCTAACCATGGTACCTCCAAATCATCCATTTTCATCGGATTTTCCATTAGAAACCAACCATTTTGATCCATTTTGGGGACCCCCCCATGTATGGAAACCCAATGAATCCATATGATTGATACATGGTCATTGATGGTCCCATCAGACATCTTGCAGGTGCGTTTCTCAAAGTCGAAGAGCGGAGTTCCTGGTTTCCAAAAACGACATGCAAACCCCCATGTTAGCTACGTCGTATCCCCGTTTTCTGGTAGATTCATTTGACTGTTCTGAAGTACTCTCGAGTTAATTACATCTCATACTTGGCTCTCTTCAACATTTTCAATACACAGTTGGGTAGCTTCTCAACATTTCTGAACTTTTTTTCCCCTATTTTTCTTTCCGTTTTTTTTTCCAGGTGTCCCCTACCTGGCCACAGCCAGGTGCGAGGCCTTCCTGTTGGATCCCCGCTGTCGGGAGGCCATCGAGCTTTCGCCTGATGAGGTCTTGGAGGTGCCCAAGCTGGATGGCGAACCAATGTGGGTATCCCGATAGCTGGATGGTTTATAATGGAAAATCCATCTATAAATGGATAATTTGGGGGTAGCCCCATTTTAGGAAACCTCCATATATACTACCCAATACTGTATCTCTGTATATGGTGCCATAAATGCCATAAAGCCTTTTTGCTTTATGGATGTTTATGGATATTATTGGTCTATAGATACATTTTACCACAAAGTAGTCCATAAAGTATAGGCTTTATGTATTGATATGCATTGATATGCCCCAGCTGCAGATTGGAACCGGTGGAACCCAATTTTTCGGCTGTTGATGGGCAGATTGCAGCGCGCTACAACATGCCCAAGCTCTATCGCAAAGCCGTAGAGATCACCGGACAAGGCATGCAGTACATCCAGGCTGGGGGATGGCGAGATCGACATCGTAGACCCGGATGATCAAACATAGATATTCTGAGACTGACAAAAATTGGTGGGTCAACTAGGGTAGTTTTTTTTAAACCAAAACTGTAGACTCCCAAGTCGCTGGGGTGTGGCCAGGTTCCAGCACAGGCGAGGAACACGCGATTTGAGGCGGAGGATGCGTCAAAGTGGTGTATCTTTGTACAACTGGCTGGTGGCCCCGACACTTCTGCGGTAACACTCAAGGGTTCCATTGAGCTAGCCTTCAAATCTTGCAGGTGAGAATTTGCAGGCCTACCAAAAGTGGCTGCAACATGTCTCATCAGTTTGAATGTTTGAACGTTCCATTCGTAGATCATTCACGGAGCATTTGTGAGGGGAAACCTGAGATGAGCGGCGAGGATCTGCGGGTGGATGTCTTGAAAGAGCACCTGGCCATGGGCATGATGTCTGCAGATGGGGAGACCTGCGAGTGCTGAGTGGGTCTGGTGGAAACCAACAAATCACAGATGGAGAGAGATCAGATTTGCCAAGAGTTAGCACGATTTATCAATATATATATATATGTTTATATGGGGATGGAGCAGATCAAAAACATCCCCATTTGGGGGGATGAATATCCATTTAGCAGCTATTTTGGTCTTCACCAGGGTTGCAGGATTTTGACCGATGACCCTATAGGCCCTATATCAATCTTTACTACCAACGTTTGCCAACACTGGCCAGCAGGTACCAGGAAGAAAGGCTGCAACCCAGCCACCTTACCAAGTAACCATTTTGCTGAGAACCTTACCAGCAAGGTGACATGCTGTTGTTCGGTGAGCCAATGCGGCATTTCAATCCCAGCTTACAATGTTTGCTTTACCTGGATGATACGGGAAATAAGCAAGTCGGTTTCCTGGAAAACAAACCATTTCAAACCCTGGAAGAAATAAGGCCGATTCGCACAGGAGATGCGATGCCGACATCGGGCTGCAGACCAGATGATGCTGGGCCCTTGGATAACTGCTCAAAGGCATGGACCCACCAAAGTTTGAAAAATATAGTTGTAACTGTTGTAACTTTTAAATTGCTGTTTTTTTCCCGAACCTCCTTTCGTTTTTTGGCGCTCCCTGGGATGTATGCTCAATCATTGCAGTTCGATTATCTGAGCTATATATATATATGTACACATATAATCACACATATATACATATATATATATGTATTTACGATAATATAATCTAGATAAGATATGTTATAAAAAACATATTTAGATGCTTTGGCTTCGACACCCGTCACACATGTCTGAGCTTGACCAAGACTGCAACATAGGAAAGTGACTGGCGGCCCAGGCTGCCCGATGCCCACGAACGCGCAAGAATCATGTGGAAGCTCCTTGGGCCGCAAACAAAGCTTTCCCTCAACAACAGATGGTAACAGTGGGAAACACGGCAGAACGGAAGTTGCATGCATACAGAATTCCATGACAGACTCCAACTTGTGTTCTCCGTATACATACATGCGCACAGGGTCTAGAAAGCGGCGCGTCAGCAACTTGGTTCAACCGAGGAATTTCAATCTGAATCTAAGCTTCGTGTTGAAGCAAGGATATTTGAACTTGGCTGGCCAAATCTTAGTTCTTGGATGGGTAAACTTGACGCTCTGACCATATGTTGAGCCGCCACCATAGATTCCAATTCAATTAATGGGCAAACATTGCAGCAGACATATAATTATACATACATACACATTGTATGTGACCATAAATGTGCTTTGCATCGTTGCATGATACATCGTTCTTTGGTGATATAATGTGATATAGACATTGACATTCACAAATATTCACAACATATAGCATACATTTACATATCTTGTATCAAATACAGAAACTATGACATACGCGTGGTCCCAATGGTGCAATCTTCAGGACCTCGCTCCGAACTTTTGCTCAGGACCCGGCCGCGGTTTCAGAAACCCAAAGCTCCAGAGTCTGGAAACCAAGCTGTTGGAGGCAGATGGACCTTCTGAAATTGGTCAGAGCCTATAAAACCGAAAGAATCTGAGAGTATAAAATTACTTATGTACTTCGGACCCAAGATGTCTTCTTTCTAGCCGTTTCATCCAACTGTTTTATGTGGGTGTGACACTTGAACTAAATGATACTAAATGCCGAGGCCTGATCATGACTGGCGGTCGCTGCATCTTGCGTGGAATCCGAGAGGGTCAAGACACGGGGGTGTCTTCGAAACCATCTTGTCGGAAAATGGGTGCCCCCAAAATGGCAATTTCATGGAGAATATGATGATTGACCAGTGGATTATTGGAAAAACCCAAAAACAATGATGCATACTGCCAGGGGAAACAATGAAAAAACATCGAAACAAATAATAAGCATTGGTTTCTGCCGGATTGTTGGACAAGGCCACAAAATGAGGGTTGTAAGCCAGACAAATCTTGGATCTCTTGAGCCCATCACCAGATCATCCATTGATGGGATCCTGTTCCAGGGCTACAGTTGGGACTTTGTTTCGAAGCGTGTCGCATCAAGGCATGTTGTACAGTAAAGTGTAGGCGTCTCAAGCCTATGTCTAGGTTTGGCCTCATCATTCCTTGCGGGGTGAGGCTGGGCAATGGGAATCCAAGTTGGACGTGTCGTGCTTTCTGTTTGGAATTCTTTGACCTGCTACAGCATGTCACCCGAAGATGAAGATGCGAACTGGCAACCAATTCCTCACAGATGCATCCACCACTGGTGTGCCGCAACTTGGGTCTGAAAAGTAGGATACCCGGATACCCCTAAATCCGTTGAATCATCACCCCTATTCAATGGCCATTTCATGGATATACCATGGTATACCACTGCAGCATCGTGGCAGGATTGGACAGCCGTGGCACATGAGTGACTCGGTGGCAGCTTGGGGTTTTTCCACAACGGACGACACAACGATTTCACAGCTGGAGCCGAGGATGCAGCCCACACCATACCGTCGAGCACGCCAAAGGAGTCTGGGCGACCGGCTAACCTGTTGATGGGGGGATTGTTTGAACAATGGACTGTAAAAATCAGCTATTTTGCTAAGAAGTTTTGCCCGCTTTGACCTGTGTCCATGTTGGATGTGATACATATATATATATATAACTTGTACTTGACTCTCCTACAGTTGTGATAGATAATGAGTCCAGCACCTGCAGCATGGGTCAAAAAGGGTTCGCCCCAAATGCCAAATCTGATGAACAACCTTGGCTCATGATGCTGGAGGTGCGATGCGCGGGGGGGTGGGATTTCATTCTTCATCTTTCAAAGGCTAAAAGGTGGAAGTGACTTCCCTGTATCACTGGTTTGATCTTCCATGTTAGGTGGGCGATGGCCATGGTGACATTTCATGATGAAACCTTGTATTTCAGGGATGGTTTCAATGTCGCCAGGTTTGGGTTTATTGAATTATTGAATTATTGGCTTTCCTGTTAAGCTTGTGCACCAGAAAGTGACTTGAGCTTTTGACGCCTTCCAGAATCTTCCAGAGGCAGGTCCATGGCAAGTCACAAACTGCGACGCGGGGCGACTTGGCAACGACCAGGAGACAGTCGAGCCGCGTAGAGAGTGAACTGAGTGAACTCGGATCTCTAGAGACACCGCTCAACAAAAGTTGATCTCTCTGAGAATCAGGGACTCAGGGACTGCAGGTTCAATATGTGTATATAAATATATATATATATTATTAGTTTAATTGGGTTTGCTGGTGTGTTTCTCCCATGACTTGTGGGCCATAATATAGATTGCTCATGTTTTTTGGTTAGTTCAAAACGCATCCCCTGATGAAAATTGTCAAGATGGTCCGAAGTAGGAGGCACATGTAGACAAAGAAACGAAGTCCCAGAGGGTCCAAGGGTGTTTTACCCTTCCAGGAGATCCATATTCGATCAAGATCATTGAGGTCTAAGGGAACATTTTTCAGGACCCCTCTGTAGTTGATGGGAACGACCATGGTTTCTTACAGATTTTCCCATCATCCCAATGACGCGACGGCGTCGTTCACGTCGTTCAGAGGTGCCACGCAGTGTGCGCGCCAAAGGCGTACACACCAAAGATACGCGTGGCGGCCGATCAGTACACCTGGACCACAGCGATGTGAAAGATTTTTGCGGAAATCACCACTGATGGGTAATGATCGAAGGAAGTTTAGAAATCAAACTTCCGACAATATGGACAGATGAAAAGCAGAGCAGGGCAGAGGCAGAGAGAAGAGGAAGATTAGAAGAGAGAAGATCAGAAGAGAAAGAGTCAGAAGAAAGAAGATACAGATGCGCGAAAAGGTAGGAAAGTCGCGAAACACTGTGTTTTTCCAATGCTGTGTGGCTCCGGAGGGTCGAAAAGTAGGCTCGCTAAAGCGGCGGGTGCGGAGCCAGCTGGCCAGATGAGAGATGAAAAATTGCACGCCGTTGTGGCGCGAAGCACATTTCCAAGTCAAAATGTACAAAACACACCAGGTCCGGACCACTTTTGGAAGTTATGATGTCGAAAAAGTGCACGCCGTTGTGGCGCGAAGCAGATTTCCAAGTCAAAATGTACAAGACACCTCAGCGTCGGACCACTTTTGGAAGTTGTGATGTCGAAAAAGTGCACGCCGTTGTGGCGCGAAGCACATTTCCAGGTCAAAATGTACAAAACACCGCAGCTCCGGACCACTTTTGGAGGTTGCGATGTCGAAAAAGTGCACGCCGTTGTGGCGCGAAGCACATTTCCAAGTCAAAAGTGTTAAAAACTGACGGTCTCGGACCACTTTTGGAGGTTCAGATGTCGAAAAAGTGTCGAAAAAGTGCACGCCGTTGTGGCGCGAAGCACATTTGGAAGTCAAAAGTGTAAAAAACTGAGGGTTTTGCACCTTTTTTGACGTGCTGATGTCGAAAAAGTAGACACTGATTAACTTAACTAACTTGACTAACTTAAGGAACTTCACTAGCTTAACTACCCTAACTTCGACGACAACAGCAACAACAACAACAACAACTACTACTACTACTACAACTACAACTACAACTACAACTACAACTACAACTACAACTACAACTACAACTACAACTACAACTACACAACAACTACAACTAGAACTAGAACTAGAACTACAACAACTACAGCTACAACAACAACAACAACAACTACAACTCCAACTGCAACTGCAACTGCAACTACAACTACAACTACAATAGATCGATAGATGGAGAGATAGATAGATAGATAGATACATAGATAGATAGACAGATAGACAGATAGACAGATAGACAGATAGACAGATAGATAGATAGATAGATAGATAGATAGATAGATACATCGATCGATGCAAAGATCGATACATGGAGAGCTAGATAGATACATAGAGAGATAGATAGATAGACGGAGAGATAGATAGAGAGAGAGAGATAGATAGACAGGTCGGTAGATAGATAGATAGATAGATCGATAGATAGATAGACAGATAGATAGATAGATCGACAGATAGATAGACAGATAGATAGACACATAGATAGGTCGATAGATAGATAGACACATAGATAGATACATAGGTAGACGGGCAGATAGACCGATAGATAAATAGATAAATCGATAGACGGACAGAGAGATAAATAGTTAGAGGGACAGCTAGAGACATAGAGGGCGAGACAGACAGATAGATACATGGACACATAGACAGATAGTTAGACACCAAGACAAATAGAGAAATAGATGGGTAGAGGCATAGACAGATAGATAGACAAATAGACAGATAGACAGACTAGATACCCAACATATCCAAACCCAAAGTTTTTGTAGGGTTTGCTCAAATACCCAGGGTTTACACACAAACTCGGAGGCTTTCCAAAACTTGATAATGTATGAAGTCTGATTGTTGTTTCGAAGTCCATGCTGGAGCAAGTTCGCATGCAGATGCGTTTGTTATCTGGCAAAACTCACGGGTTGAGTACCGCATCCTGCATTCATTGCATGCCGAAGCATTCGTTGCAGGCCAGCGTGTGTGTTTTTTCTGACCGCACGATGGCGTATCAGCAGCCGTAATTCATTGCACGTGTTCGCGCTGCAGCGTCCGTAGCTCGCAGCATGCCTAAGAAGGCTTTACACCTAAATCATGTAACCTTCAGATCCCTTTAAGCCTAAAATGCTTTAATCCTAAGCTGTCCGTAACCCTAAAATCC